TTTTTTTTTTTTTTTTTTTTTTTTTTTTTGGTACTGGGGTTCAAATTCGAGACCTTGTGCTTGCAAGGCAGGTGGCAGCACCACTGAGCTAAATGCCTGGGGCCCAAATACAAATTCTTAATCAGGCCTGGTAAGGCATGCCTGTAATCCCAGTACTCAGGAGGCTGAGACAGGAGAATCACCAAGAGTTTGAGGCCAGTCTGGGCTACATAGCAAGGGCTTGCTTTAAACAAACAAACAATGCTCCCACGAATTCTTGAGGGCTATTCCTTACCTCTGAGCAAGATAATTTATTACCTTCTCATGACCAGTGCTAGGGCCTTCCGCGCTGAGCAGCCACCAGGAGGAGATGTAGAGCACCTTTCCTTCCAAGGCTACCGTTTCTCACCCGTCCAGGACAGGAAGCTGCGCTTGCAAGGCGTCAGCGTCGCCAGCATGGGGCCCAGTCTCAGCTCCCTCTCTGGATCATTGCCCGAGGCTGTTGTGTTGGGGCTGCCCTGAAAGCTCTCCAGAGGCACACAGTGCCCAGTGTGGGAGGCGGGTCCCAGGTCCCCAAGAAGGGATCTCCCCAGGAAAGAACTTGACTACTGAAGGATAGTGTTAGGAAGGTAAGAAAAGGGTGGGTCTTGGCTCAGCGCCAAGTTCCTGCCCTTCCTGCCTTGGGCACAGTGAGCAAAACAAGCAGAAGCGCAAGACAATGCACAGAGCTGAGCCAGTTTCCAGAAGAAGACTTCAACTTCAATTGCCTGTCACTGACTTTAGCCACGTAATCACCATCATTGTTTTATGGACATTGGAGATCATTTCTGAGGAAGAGGGATGGCAGCCAGGTGCTTGGGTGATGCCTGCCTCCCTGACACTTCCTTCTTGAGGCCTCTCCATGTGTGGTTGCTGGGGTCTCCTAAGTACTGAAGTCAGATTTAGGGACCCTCCATTGGGTGTTTTACTGTAAGAGCAGCTGGACTCCAGGGCCCCCCTGGACAGAGCCTGTCCTAAGTGTCCCTGAGTGCCATTGCTGCCCACACCCCTGAGTCTGGGGAAGCCCTGTTTGTGTGGGTGGGGTGAGGGCCCAGGAATCCTAGAAGGTCCTAGCTGGGAGGGGTCTGGCTTGGGAAGGGGACCCCATACAGGGTACCCCACAGCCCAGGTAGAGTGTGGGAGCATGGAGGCTTGGATGAGGGATGGGTGGGAGGGACACTGGGGACGTGGCATAGAGAGGACACAGCACATAGGATGGTGGGGGAGAGGGCATGGGGACGGAGCACAAGGATGGGGGCACAGGGACGGGACCAGCTCTAGGGTCTCCGTGGTTGGCATGGGTAGGGATTTAGCTGTGGATGCTGACTGATTTTTTGTTGTTTTGTTTTTGTTTGTTTGAAGGGCTGGGATCAAACCTAGGTCCTTGGCTCTGAGCCTGTCCCTGTCCCCGCCCCCCTTTTTTTGGTACCTGGGATTGAACTCTAAACCTTGTGCTGGCGAGGCAGTTGACAGAACCAGAGCTAAATTCCCAGCCCCCAACCTTTTTTTTTTTTTTACACATTTTTAGGTGTTTATGCTGAATTATAATAACTTTTTTTTCCTATTGCCTTTTCCCCCAACCCTTTTTAAAGTTTTATTTTGAGGCAGGGTCTGAAGAAGTCACTAAGTCCCCAGACTGTGCTGGAACTTGTGTGTGTGTGTGTGTGTGTGTGTGTGTGTTGGAACATTTTTGTTTGTTTGTTTTTATTTTTGTTTTGCTTTTTGAGACAGGGTCTCACTATGTAGTTGAGTCTGACCTGGAACTCACTATGCAGCCTAAGCGGGTCTGAACTCACAGCGATCCTCCTGCCTCAGTCTCCTGAGTGCTGGGATTACAGGCATGCGCCACCACGCCCGGCTTGGAACTTTTGATCTTCCTGTTCCTAATAGAAAACCAAAGGCTTCAGACAGTGAGTGTGCATGGCCAGGAGCAATGTCCTGTGGACGGCAGAGGCGATGCTGGTGTCTTGAGGCATCGTGGGTGACCCTGAGTTATGGGACCTCGAGGGGTACAGACCCCTGCATGTGCCAGGGCCAGGCTGCACTGACCGGGCACACTTGGACCTTTACAGCTTCCATGTTTCACCCTGGGCCAGCGCTGTCCCACTGCACTCTGCTCAGCTACCAGTTGGCTCAGTCACAGCTGCAGTGTGTGAGGCCAGCACTAGGTCCCCCAAGGCTCAGGTCTGACTGTGCATTCAATGCCCATTTTATACGTGGAGACGCCAGGCACAGAGGCAGATTATTTGCTGCCGAGTGTGTCCAGGTTTGCAGGTTGCATACCAAAGTGTGGGCAGGGGCAGTGTGTATGAAGGAACCCGATGTGGCCTGGGATAGAAGGTAGGGTGGAGGATGTACGTCCTGGCTGTGTGGGAAGACAGGTCCCAGTGGTTTATCCCTCTGGAACCCTCCTTTCAGGACAGTGGTGTGGGAAGCGGGACCAGGTAGGCAGAGGATATGCTGGGGACTCCACCTTCAGGCACAGCTCCTGGGTCCATGGGCCTGTGGATCTTGGCACTCCCTAGCCCATGATGAGATGCCCAGTGCCACCCTGGGCCAGCAAGAAGGCCACTGCCAGATGTGTTGAGCCCTCAGCCTTGAGCCCAGAGTGACCTTTATCGTTTATAACGTGACAGCTGCTGTGTCTCTGGATGTGCCACACGCTCCCATGAGCCATCCCCTGCTGCTGGCCCCGGGGGCCACTGTGACTGGGGTTTTGGCCAGTAAATCCCAGCTGCAGAAGTGACTGGGAGCCCCCTCTTCTCACCTGGAAAATAGGTCTAAGAGTTAGGATGATGGTGCTTCACTGACACAGGGCTTGGTGTTTGCTTCTGCAGACCCTAGGCTAATGGTGGTTCTGGGAATGATTTTGTGACCTTAACAATGATTATTTATATTTTATTTTAATTAATTTATTTTTATTTGTTTTTTGAGACAAGGTCTTGCTATATAATTCGGGCTGGCCTTGAACTCACTATGTAGCCCAGCCTGGCCTTGAACTCATGGTGATCCTCCTGCCTCAGCTTCCCAAGTGCTGGGTTTACAGGTGTGTGCCCCTATGCTAACAATCACATAGCTCAGTGGTAGAACACTTCCCCAGCATGCATGAGGCCCTAGGTTAAATCCTCAGTAACACACACACACACACACACACACACACACACACACAAAAAAAAACCTTTGGGTGGGGCATAGTAGTGCACACTTGTAATCTTATCCCTTTGGGAGGCTGAGGCTGAAAGACCAAAATTTCAAGTCCTACCTGGGCAATTTAGCAATACTCTATCTCAAAATATAAAATAAAGAGGACGGGGAGCCAGGCCTCATGCTGTAGGCCTATAATGCCAGCATTCTGGGAGGCTTAGTCAGGAGGATCAATAAGTGTAGCCCAGCTCACCTGGGCAATTTGGCAACTTAGTAAGACCTTGTTTCAAAATAAAACATTAAAAAATGGGCTGTGGATACAGCTTGGTGGAAAGGCCCTGGGTGTTACAACAAAACAACTGGTGGGGATTTAGCTCAGTGGTTCCAGCACCTGCCTTGCAAGCAGCCAGGGCCCGAGTTCGATCCCCAGAGTCCAAAACAAAACAAAACAACCTCCAAAAAACCTTTCCCTGGAGGCTGTATTTCATTGGCAAGGCACATGCTAGCAAGTGGAGCCCCTGGATTTAATCTCCAGCACCACACACAAAACAAACCAACCCTAACCCTCCCACTTTGCACTGAAGTGTGATACCAAAGTAGACACACCCAGCACCCAGTGTCATGCCCTTTACAGTCTTGGCAAGTAGTGCTCAGTCTAGACACAGATACTGGCAGCCTGGGGTGGCTCCTGGCCTCTCAGTATCTGCTGTCTCTGTGGTAGGGAAGATGCTGTCCCCGGGGAGACACACAGGGTCGTGCGTCAAGACCAGCCCACCTGTAGCTGAGAATTAGACATCTCTGCCAAAACCCCAGATGTCCCCTGAAGTGTGCTCCTGGACCCCGTGGGGACAGGAACCATCAAGAGACCTCAAGTGATGGTGCAGGAACCACATAGGTGGCACAGTGACCACAAGTAGCAGTGTCCATCTCACTGTCTTGGGCCTGGAGGTGGCCAGGTCCTGTGTTGCTCAGAACTGGGGTTCAAGATGGGACACTGGTGGGAGGCAAGGGCTGGGCCTGGATGGGCTCCCCATGAGGACTCAGAGGCAGAGGCCAGCAAGCCCCACATGGCTCCACCGGGTGTGAGAAGACATAGCCCAGGTAAAAACATGCAAGAGCAGGGCTCCTGGCCTGGCTAGTGAAGAAGAGTGAGGTACCCCACCTCCAGGTCTGTCATTGTCCTGTTCTGGATCCTGTGAATGTGACCTTGTCTGGAAACGTTGTCTCTGCCTGTGTGCTGAATAGATGGCCCTAAGTGCCATCCCCATGTCCTTCGCAGAAAGCCAGTGGGAGAAAAGTCACAGAAGAGGGTCGGGGTGAAGAATGGGTGACAAAGTGCAGGGGGCCATCCTGCTCTGGAACAACCTGGTTCCAGTGTCCCAGGAAAGGCACACAGACCAGAGATGTCACAGGGTGCAGTTTATAGGTTCTGGACGGCAGCAGGACCAGGTAGGTCCCATAGTTTGGTTCGGAGGAGGGTGTGTGTACTGGGTGGGACAAAATCACTTTAGTCCAAGCCAGAATGGATTTAGCTTATCTTACTCATATCAGGCACAGGTATAGGCACAGGTGTGGGCTCCACACATCAGTAGTG